TTAAATGGGGGAAAATAAAACATGTATGAAAGACAAAAGCTGAACTAAACCTCATCAAAATACAAGGAAGGTTGCACATCAGAAAAAAACCTTTCCTGGATGACTGAGCCTTCACACAGTCAAGCCTTTAGGGAGTATCAGGGCAAGTATTTAACCTCTCCCATCACACACACAGTTATCACACCAGAGTGCAGAATCCATCACTGACATGCACTGAGCCTGACATAACACTTGCAGACCAAAAAAAAAAAAAAAAAAAAAACTTGCATAAAAGAGCAGCAGGTCAGAACTTTGCTGATCCACCAAAATGACATCGATTAACAGTATTAACATGGAATCCCCCAAAAATGTGTTAATATAAGTTTGTGAAAACACATTTTTGGGGTACATTTCTGTCACTTTAGCAGTTTCAGGCTGATCTTACAAGGATAAAAAAAAAAGTTTCACTTTTGCAAAAGTTTCAAAAGCAGTTAGTGTAAAATTAATGAGCAGAGTTACATTTCAAAAACAAAAGACAGCAATAAAGGGGGGGGAACAAATGCCGTCATCAGCTATAATCTCCATAATCTTTCCACAAATTGCAGTGCTGTGTCAAAATATTTAGCAGAAACCAAACAGATTCCTTCACACCCCAGTCATTGTATCACAAATGTACCTTCAACATTCGGGTGCAGGGCCTGGGAGTTAAAGGAGTCGGTGCTGTCTGCAGAGTTGCCTCGCCTGTAATTTTTGTACTGACATTCCTCTTCTGGATTTTGGCACAAACTATCGCTGCTGTCTTTCACAGGTACACCACCCTCATCTAGAGCCTGGAGTAGGAAGGGTTAACAGAAGTATAAAAATAAAGTAATACAATCTTTAAATACTTAAAGAGAAAAATAAAAAATTACCTTGGACAAGGCCAGCCCCAACAGGCCCTCAAAAGCCTTCAAATTAAGCTGAGGGCCATTGTACAATGTGTCCAGGTGAGCCTTGCGACCCAACCAGTAAATTGTTATCAGAACCTGAGAAAGAATAGACAGAATTACAAATATGACCAAACACACCAACTTACTTCCTTACTTAAAGAAAAAAAAGAAAAAAAAAAAAAGAAAGAGAAGAAAGAAAAGACACCACACTGCTCAAAACAAATTAAGAGAACAACAGGCGTACTACAGATACAACAACACCAACAAGACAACTTTCCAAGTAGGGCTGGGCCATATTATACCGTTCACGGTAATACCGGTATAATGTTAGGCAACGATAGGAAAATGAAAAATCGCGATAGAATGTGAGTAAAACGCCCATGCGCAGTGCCTTTGTTTTCATACGTACATGGCCGATTGTTGAGTGAAACAGATGAACCAGAATTGGTTTGTAAAAATGGTGCAACTTCAGTGATGTGGAACT